TCCTTTGACTATTGACCATAATGATAGATGGAGAGGCTTCAAAAAGGACAGCTTACAAGCTAGTTAATCAGGATGATGACATTGTTTATATACAGTCTATATAAAAAGAGAAGACAAATGTAAATAGAAAATGGAAAAAATGTCTTATTTTGGTGATTAGAAGCTAGAAAACATGCACGTATAATTATGATTGTGTTAAAATTCCCCATCTTCCAAGCACAGTTGCAGGGTGGGCTGTCCCATCTGTGCACACATGATAAGAGTCACACATACAGTTGTGGGAAATCATCCAAACTGGTCATGGGTGTGAGACTTTTGAAGGGTGAAAACTGGGTGAAAATGTTTTCATGCTACTCCACGCTGCCACAGAGTCAGTGATTAACGCGTGCAACAAAACAAAACCAAACTGAATCTCAATCAAGAACAAAAATCATTCATTTCTGACAAACACACCATATTCTATTGTTTGTCACTCTATTTTTGGTTCAGATGGATCTTGTACAACAGAATAGCAACCATTGTTTGCAGCTGCTGCTCACAACAAAAGAGAAGTGGTTGGTCTTGACTCAAGATGCTTCTTTTGTTTGCCACTTCACCACAAGAATGCACTGGTGGAGTGCTTGATTTTTGCTATGGTCTGGCTCTGCATAGGGATTTAACAGTTGACTCAGCCACAGGACAAGGATGTTAAATGACCTTTGACCCAACGGGACAGAAGTTGTGGTGAATGAATGTGGCTATAGAATTTCTTCTAAAAAAAATTCTCTGAAGGGAGATCTGTTCAAGGACATATTTTTAGTGACACTTAATCCAGACTATATCAGTTTGCGATGGGGACTGGAGGAAGAGAATTTATGACCGCTGTCAGATCAGTGGCTGCAATTCTGGATGACATCAGGCAATCCTCTATTCAGCATTGTTCTGCGGATAAGGAGGGGAACTGGTGGGAGGGGTGTATGCATGCAAATAGAAACATGCCCTGACCATGCTGCTACCGTTGTCTTTTCCTGTTTCTCACTGGACAGCAGAAGTAGCATCCAGGAGGCTACAGTGTGGCTGACCTCCATCTCCTCACTTCAACACTCAAGATAATGCATGAATTATACCCCGTATAAATCAAACGTATGCAGGAAAATACGTTTATTTTATATTACTAGTTTTTCTGTGGGTTACTGTGATTTAACTGTCTGAGGCGAGCAAATATAAGACAAAGAAAAAATGCTTAATCTTCTCTAAAACCATAAACCATCCGAGGTGTTTATTGATGCTAGATTAGCTATGTGAATCTGTACCGGCAATACAAACAGACCCAAAGACCCGAATGGTAATGGTAAATGTAAAGCAGGTGTTTCTCACTCTTCATTCTCTCACTCACACACCAGTGGAGGCTGTGCTGCCATGCAACGTGCTGGCTTGTCATTGGCAGACACTGCAGGACTGTGGCTGTCGTGGGGAACGAGCCACAGGTTTAAAACAACACCTTTAATCACAGAGCAAGCTGAACCACATGTACGATCTAAAGAAACAGAATATAAAGAAAACTCTAAAGTGCAGGCATGACTTTTGCTCCTATCATATTCAGGAGTATGAAAACTAAAACATTTATTCTTTATTTAACATTTTGAAGACTTGTATGTTGCACACGAACATTCAAATCCTTTTAATTCCAGCTCAAAAAAGCAGTTGTCTCCAAGAACTTCACATTGTTAAGTAAAGATCCGACAATATTAGGTCTGTGTAAGCTCAATAGTAGCTGCTTGTTAAAGAATTAATGTGGAACAGAAGAGCAGCAGAAACTGGCCTAAGGGACAGTTAGAGGAGAGTCGTCCGCTTTGAGCTCTCTTTACAAGGATGCTCATTCATCGGTCCCCGGCGTATGGCACAGAGAGGATGTCTGTCTGAGCGTGTTTGTGTCTTTCTTATCTCACGAGGGTTTGCGGCACACCAGCTCACACGCAGATCATGAGCAGAGCATGCACATACACAGAAAGACAGCAAGTCAAGAAATGATTTGGTATCCATCATATCACAAGACTTGTGGGTTGTGAGCATGAGTTCTTCTCGCGGTACGCACTGTGAATCCTTCAGGACTTTGCAGACTTGCGGATTTTCACGATATGAAGGTTTTTGTGCCAAGTTTGAATCATATAAACTTCACTCTCACCACTTTCATATTTCATTAACATCACATATTTTAATTCCACACCTGAAAATGTCGCCTTACCTTACAAGTGTCCTTATAATGACACTCCAGTCACAGTGTTCCTGCTGCTTTCTGAGATTGCAAACATCCACCCTCCTATCTACACAAGCCGCAGGACCTTCTCTCTTCCTTCCTTCCCTTTCGAATGTAAGCTGGCGGCCTGTGTCTACTCTACCTCCTTCTCTCATGTTTTTCTCAGCCCTCCCCTTTAAAATTCACTCTTCCCACCCTCTTCTCCTCCTACGAGCACTGATAGCTGAGGGGCCAGCACCCCCCTCCTCTTCCTCTTACCCTTCTCTTCCATCCTGCCACTCAGTCAGCCCTCTGCATCTCTTTCTGTGTCCACTACAGTTGAAACGCCAGCTCAGGCAGACTAGCAGAGAAGTACCCATTCATCCTCTTTCCTTTCCCACCCACTGCTTGTTTGGAATCAGAAGGCCTTTCTGGCAGATTCCCAGCAACGCTTACAGTTTTTCAGCCCTTATATCTTTTTCCTTTTAATCTCGTTTCTCCCAACTGTGGACTTTGTAGCTAACAGAAACAGTAAAATTCAATCAGGAATTTTGCGTAAAACTTGAAATATTCACAGACAAGAAATGAAGAAGACACCACAATTAAACAAGTCATCAATTAAACAGTTACATCCAGCTTATCTAGATATTTAAGCTCTAGCTCTCTTCCACAGTATGCCTTTTTTCTGCCACAGCAGATCGCCGTCCCTCCCTGAGCCTGTTTGTGCAGGAGGGAGTTTTTCCTTCCCACTGTCACCAAGTGCTTGCTCATCAGCTTCTGGCAGCCAATCAACATCCAGTCACGAAATACTTATTTTTCCCAAATCCAATATCTTGGGCTGTGTGACTGCTGCCTTATTTCCTTGAACCTACCGTGTCACATGTCCAAAATGGCCAACACGTTAATGTCACATGGTTAAGTGGGCATCTGACTACAAAAACCTGATT